CCACCACAAAATAGCATAATTAAAAAAAAAAAAAAAAAAAAAAAAACATGCGAGAGTATTCTTGGTAACGACAGTAGCTGGATGAACAATGCCTGCGTTCGTCTTCATTTGCTCGCAAGTTGAAGATTATCAGGGATTCACATCGCAACGGGAATACTTTTGTCATGACAATTTTTACGGGGAGTCATAGAGGAAGAAGAAAGCTTTAACGTCAAGGATAATTTGTTGACGCGCATACACACGCCGGAAGTGTTGCACCTTCTCTCTCTCTCTCTCTCTCTCTATCTTTATTTTCTCCGCCTCCTTATTCCTCTTTTCTTTTCCCCTGCATTTTCACGTGGGTGGCTGACTCCCCGACTCCTCTCGGGACTCTCCCTCTTTCCAGAGATGTGAGTTTACATATTATTCACTCTGCCCTCCTTCCTTTTTACCATATCATGTAGTTGCGCAAGAAATTTCATTAAACCTTCATTTCACGATATACGTAAATGTTTCTACGGGAAGCAATTGGATTGTAATTATTTCTTAACGGTGAGTAATGTTTGTCACCCTGTGGACAATTGTTGTAAATAATTTGCCAAAACAAAACATATGTTGACAATCATTTAGGTACGAATAAACATCCCACTGCATCTCACTGATATTATACTTATACTCGTACCTTTTTTAATCAAAATTATCTTTGCGGTTGTAAACTAAACTTTGATGTCAAAAGTTCAAGACCCAAAGCCCAGAAATCTCGAAGGCTCGAACTGCTTGGCCACCGTGCAGCACAAGCACCCAATTTGGACGGCGTGACTACAAGACTCTCGATTCAAAATTTGGCAAGCCGAAAATGAGTTCTTGCAAAAGTACTTCAAGTTTTGATAGAACAGTCGGTGTGGGGGGAAACAATCCACTCGATTTGTTTATCGATAAATTATAGTCTCTCATACCCGTCGACACCTGTTGTAAATAATGTCGAGAAAATGTCTTCATGGACACGAGAGAAAAACAGATGGCCATTTCCATCGAAGGAAAACAATAATTATCTCATCGAAACGGCTAATGCCGAAAATAACGTCACGTACCGTAGAGCTCTTTTTCCACTGTGCATTTTTATCCGTGATGCAGCGACACGTCGAGATCCCCCTGCTTCCCCACTTGATGGGGATTCGCACACGTATACCGTCCTTGTTTGCACACGGCGCGCTGATTGTGATTTGCGACGTACGTAATGGAGGGAGTTGGCCAATTTTTTTTTCCATTTCTCTTGTACAAATCCAAAGTGGCCCCGAGGTTGGTCATAAGCCTGTCAGGCAAAACTCTCCAAAGAGATCGCACGACCGAGGCGTTAAATCTCGTTGGCCGCTTTGCTACGTGGTACACGCATAGCAGAGTTGCGGCTGGGAATGAAAATTGTGGGCCCATAAGTTTCGCATTTGTTGGTTTTCAGGAGACAGTCGGGCTGCTCGGGAAAACTGTGGACCATTGGGTGACCGACGGCTTGTTCGCTGCTAGCTGCGCTGTTGTTGGTATTTCCGTTTCAAGATGAGCGTTACATATTTTCCGGCTGATCTTGAACAAGCTAGGGAGCCAGCTCATTAAAAAAAAAGTTTGGAGCCCCAAGTTAAATAATCTCAAAGCGCTGCAGCTTGTTAAAAGTGTTTTGCGCGGAGGAGCACCCATTTGGAGCTAAATTATTGCCCCGTACAACTGCGAGATTATTCATTTCGAGACGGCTGAGTTATTGCGCGCCCGATGATCGTCGTTTTTCTTAATTTGGGGTATTATAATGCAAGAGCACGCCCAAGTATTTTCGCGTAGTGAATGAGACCGCGATTTAATTAATTTTACCTGTACGAATTTGAGATGCAATCGCACACATCTCCTAATGTATCGAAGAGGCCGCGTGTTCAATCCGCGGTGGGCGGTATTTTTTATCGCGATGCCCACGCTTGGGTAAAATTATTTTATGGGTGCTTAAACACCTTTTTTTCCTGAAAAAAGTACATTCGTTTTCTTGAAAATGTTACCATTCGTAATATGATAAATTTAAAAAATGTTGTTCTAGCAGATAAGTGCCAGTACGTTTTGGACGCCATAGTTTGTTCTAAAGCAATTAAAATAAAATATTCCAAAACAATACAAGTGACGCAAATGGTTTTACCTAAAACCAAACGCACCATCGAAAGGAAGACATATCCATTAAATTGATATTTTATGAAAAAAAAAAAAAAAAAAAAAAAGCCAACAAGCAAGTTTCAAAAGCTACACGTGTAACAATAAATCACCCACTCGCCATACATTATATACACGCGGAATCTAATGAGTATTGTTCTCGGAAATCCATTGTCCCATTGCCCACGTGCTTATACCGCTATACGTGAGAGTGCACTGTGCATCTGATATCAAATTTGCCCGGGACTCGAATCCGCGACCCTCCTTTAAAAAACGGACTTTCCATGCACTGCCGGTGAATCGTTGAATGCACTTTGCAAGCCCAAATGAATCAATCCTCAAGTACATGTATACACCCATCATCGTTCCGCCCACGCTTTTTCCGATCGGAAAGTAAAACCCACTCAAAAAATATCGTCAAAATGGTAAGGTCCCGGTCCTGGGCAGATACCCATCGCCTGTGCCATTGTCCGAGTCCTTAGCTCCGATGCTCGAGCCATTCCATCAGCCGGTATACACGTACAAAACGGCATCCACTTACTGCACTCTCTCGCTCATATTATCTATATACACGTCTCTCTCGGCTCCTCGTGTTTTCCTCATCTCCCGCCTCCGTTGGCCGCTGCTATCCGAATATTTACGCAACACTTGCGCCCTAGCTCTCCGTACCCCCCCGGGGTTTGACTAACACTCAAGAAAATCGTATTATCCGACTCCCGCTCTTCCGACGAGACGCTATACCATATACCTCCTCTCCTCCCTTCCTTCCTAGGTACCGCGATGATGAATTTTCACGCAGACGAGCACATAATACTCACCTCGACCCACTTGGGTTCCGACAATAATCTACCTATGCAGCCCATTTTTCACCTTGCTTTCGCGGGCTCTTTTTCCACTACTGCTGAACATTAGGGTGCAAACTTCATTAACACGTTTTACTCTGTCTATTCTTCTGTCGGAAAAATATAAGGTTTCCATTGTCATCGCCCCTGGGTGATAATAACATGGAATATCGTTCAATGGGCATTTTCTTCAACGCTTACCATTTTTATCTCACCATCGCGACAAATTTTTGCGCATCTGTCGGGCAAGGGCTCGTACAAGTAATCTTGACTCTCGTGTCCATTTGTTTCCATGAGCTGCTGTATTGCCTGACAAAGGATTATAAACACGGAAGAACCTTCTTATTCGATCGCAAGAGCTAATCGATTATCTTAACTAGAAAAGCTGTAGTGGCATGGGTGTTTATACTATGTGCAAATGACAATGGTATTTTTCGTCACAAAAGGCCCGAGGGACCGTAAGGAAGCCCCAGATGGATGGCACTTGTGTGTTGAACACTGTTTTTCCTATCATACCAAGGGCACACTTTTTTAATTTCTTTCGAGCTGCGAAAATTCTTCGTCTCCCTATTCTCGAGCCCACCATAAGCGAGTATACGACACATGCTTCACATTATGTAGCTCTGCACTACGTCATTCCTTCGAATTTCAAGTAGTTACCTAAAATACAAATAACTTGGGGATTAAAAACATTAAATTTACAAGTGAATAACAAAAATAAGATACCATTGAAGCAAACAAGGAGAAGATCGCTGGTTTTAAATGGCACTTTTTACGCGCAAATAAATTATCTCCGAATATTGGACCCCTCCCTTGTTTCTTCTTTTCTCTCATTAGTGCAATTAATACGACGAGCGCGTTGATTAATTTGTGAGTGCGAGCGGATGATCGGACAGCTGCATTCGCGAGGGACGAAGCGAGGATGCTTTCGAGCGCGTGGGCGTATAATATATGCATATGCGTATGCAGAAGCGGTCAGATTGTGTGAGCGTATAAATATACATGTGTATGTGTTCTGCGAACGGTGCCTTTATATATATATGTTATAATGTTATGCTCGCTTTCTCTCCAGAAGTGTAAGCACCTACGTAGCACTGCTCGTATACGGCGTATTAAGTTTTCTTAAAGAAAGATGTTTTGGAGTTGAAAAAAAAGTCAATTTTTCATCTCGATACGTCAAAGTTCAACTTGAAATTACGCTCACTTTGTTTCTCTTCGGTACAAGTAAGTATTATTATAGACGTAATGTATTATTACATGATGTGTAGCTTATGTAATTTTATGACAAATGAATGAACTTCTTTTCTGAAGGCAAGTATACACGATTTGCATAAACTTGGATTTAATGGATGTGGGCCGATTATATAACTCATTCCTCGAAGCTATATTATTAAAAATACCGTATTTAATTACATACATCGTGAGTATTCGTCACTAACATTATAAGTATTTTGAACTGTAAAAAAATTAAGTCGAGGACTCGGTAATTACGGCTTGAACCTCAAAAGAAAATAATAATGATGATAATATCCTGCAATTATGCGAAAAAATTTGAACTTGGCGTTTAAAATTATTAAGCGCTGAATGAATTTATCATGATGAGTATCAAAGAGAAAGCTCAAGGCGTACGCTGTACTTGTACGTGTTAGTCACGGTTTAATTGGCGAAAGAGGGTCCCTTGATGCATACATTATAGCCGACTCCAATACGCCTTAAAAAAAAAAAAATTGACTCTACAATTGTGATCCTATGGTTTTAAAGATAATACCCACGTTTGTGCTATTCGTATTAAACAGCAAAATTGATATCCTATTACTTAATTATAAATTTATTTTGTATTTATTATACAATGCTAGTGATTCATTTGGGATAGCCCATGTTGAAGTGGATATCACAAAATAAATGCTTTGCCTAAAATTTGTATCATGTCATGAAATGAATTGTACCAACGTATTTCGAATAATTTTAGACATAAGAATCTCTTTATTATAGTCGTCCTTTTAAAAGTTCACAAATTAATTACCCTAACATTTAATTGAATAGTTCTAATAGTTATAATAATAATAATATATAATATACAAAATTACAAATTAACTACAAAACATAATCCAGTTCGTACCTAATGTACTGATTCTTTGGATCATTCATGATTCTTGAGTACCCTGCAACAAGAGCATCTTGTCCTCCAATATAAAGTGAATTATAAATTTTCCAATACACATCGCGAACTTTTCTTGCAGGATGAAATAAACCCTGAAACATACCGGAAAATTACGTGTAATAATTTGTTTAGAGTAAAATCACATTAAATTAATTACAAAAATTCATACTTGTAAGGTGTACTGAAGAATTTTAATTGGGCCTAGAGAGACTCTCAATCCATCAACGGCATCCATAAATGCTTGTACCAAATGCGGCGAGGTTTCAAAAACGTTTGGCCAAACGTAATTCAGCAAATGTATTAATGCATCCTCGCAACCAAAACCGTAAACACCTAAGGACATGTGTTTGATTGCCGCACAGGCTGTTTGTCTGTGTACTAGATCTCTGTAAATAACGCGTGTTGTTTTTAATTTATGCATAAATTTAAAAAAAGTTTCGTTCTATGTACCCTACAAAATATCATTAGCTAGAAATATTACAAACCTGTCCATCAAAGCATCTTCTAGTAAAGAACTGACGGCGTAAATGTAATCTTTGCCCATTTCCCCTATGTACTCGAATAGGAACGATAATGATTTGAGGACACCGTTTTGTACGTTTAGCTCGGGAACTCTGTATTCGTTCATGAGTGCTGGTAATACTGTGAAAGGACTGCAAGTTTCTGCAACAATTGCGATAGCTACAGTCGTGCAGACACGATTTTGTCGCTCTTGTACTTTAAGATTGTTCAACAAAGTGGCCAAGACATCATGTGGTCTACAAAAAAGCATTTGATCATAAAAATTTTGTACTTAACAACTCATTTGTAATTAAAAATTGATTGTTTAATGTCAATGGCGATTAATCTGCCAAAAGATGGTGAATTTATATCCATATTAAAAAATGCATTAGAAACTCATGTATGCTTGATCTTTTCTAAGAAATAATTTTTAAAGCTCTTGGAAGCTAGAGTACTTGTACACAACATCACCCCTTGCTAGTAGAATTATCTCCATTTTACATATAAAAAAATTAACTTACCCGATAGCTTTTGCAATATAACCAAAAGTATTTACTGTTGCTCGCCTGATAGCTTTTTTATGTGCTTTTAGCAATTCTAAAAGTTCAAAACATATTCTCATCCACTCACGAGCTGACACATACTCAGGACCTCTGTCTGCTATCCTACCAACTAAATCGATGCAATTTTCTTGTACCTGAAATAAAAATAAGAAAGTTAGTTACTCCTCTGAGTTTTTAATTCAAGATTTCGTAAACTTGAAATAATGAACCTTTTCGTGTCTGTTCTTCAATATCGGCGTCAACCTAGGAAGTAAATCCTTGATAGGAGGCGTCATTTTCGTCATACCAATGACATTTACGATTGCTTTAAGGGCTCCTAATATACTACCCAATACTTCGGGATATTCTTCTCCCAAGTACTCGTAGAGTACAACTCCCAATCGACCCATAAGTTTTTCCTAAAAATAAGTTATGTATTATGATTTAAAATGCATTGGGCTAAAAAAATGTTAATCCCGTAATTACCTCTTGACATGTCTTCATAACAACTGCGATTCTAGAAATAAGATCTGCCGCCTGCTGTCTGACCTTTGCTGATTTGTTGTTAAGCCTCCACAATATTGTACCACAGATTTGCGGTAGATACGGCTTGACACGTTTTCCTAGAGTATTTACTATTGTACCAAAGCCATTTAACATTACTACATCCTACAAGTAAAAATTCAATTTAAAACTATAAGTAGTCAAGGAAAAAATGGATTTAATGATTCATTCTGAAATCATACTTCGGTTGTCTGTTCCTGGAAAGCGTAGAGAATGCCATCGATAAGCTGTTCTTCGAGACGCGAATCGACGTCGGCAGCTCCCAAATTACCCATAATTTTTTCTATAGTCTCCATGACCATTTTTCTGTATTGTTCGTTTTCATCTTTCAAATCGTCAACAACTCTGTTTATTATTTCTGAAGCCCCTACTTTATTGGCAATTTCGACAGTTGTGTCAACAAGCTAAAAAAAAATTTTTTTTTTTTTAAATTGCAGCCTTGAAAAAATAAAACTAGTATGCAAAGCAGTTACACATTATTTTACATGAATTACGTACTTGTCTATAATTTCTACGATCTAGAGCCATTCTATGATTCCAAAAATGCTTAAAGAAATGCGGTAAGATTTCATCCTTGATGTATTGAGATTCTACACCATCCGTTCCACAACACTGTTTTACTACCTGCAGAGCAAAACATAGGTGTTAATGATGTAATACTCAACTATTTGTGAAAATTATTTGTTTTAATCGTAAAAAAAATCTCACCTTTAATACAATCTTCTTCATTTCCTCATCCGGCGACTGGAACTCCCGAATCAAAATCAACATTACTTCACGAGTATAATAGTTGGCATACTCGGCATCCATAAGTGGAATCAAATAACCGATGGCTTTCAAAAAGGCAGCCAGACCCTTTCCTCTATGCGTTCGAATACCTTTCCAGAGAGGTTTGAGAACCGAATCGAAGCTTTCGATACCGTAAGGAGTAGCTGCCTCGGCCAAAGCTGCTATTGCTAAAGCTGTGATTGTACGAACTTTCTGCTGTTCATCCACCAAGCCTATATAATAATCGCTCAATTATTGGATTATCGCAAAACTGTGTCAGTAAAATGAGATGAACAATTAATCATGACTCACCGTGTTCGATGATTTCAACCAAACTTTTCAAATGTGGCAATATAGCGCAACCCATGAGAATAGCTATTTGCTGAACGATTTTGATACCCGTGTGTCGCGCTTGCCAAGATTTTTTACTCCTGCAAACTGCTTTCAAGAAGGGCAAAAGAGATGGAATGCCCAAGGCTGAGGCTACAACCGCAAAGGCTCGAGCTGTCGTGTTTCTTACATACTCGTCTATGTTATCAATATCGGGTCTCATGGTTGAAATCATAGTTGCTAAGCCCGCCGCCTTCGCCAAGTTCGAGATGATTTCTCTGCCTTCTACACGAGCATAGTAGTCCTCGTCAATCAACAGGGGTTCAATAACAACAAGAATCTGCCAGAATGAAAACAAAATCAATTAGTATTGCTAAAGCATAAATGTACAGTCTTCAATTTAAATTTAACCAGTTATTATTTTTTTAACATTGTACCTTGTGCACGTACGGTCTGACCAAGTCATCTAATTTGTACAAAATGCGATCGATAACTTTGACCAGCAAATGTCTCTCCTGATCTTCTAAAGTAGGCGACATAAGAAGAGGTAGAATTTGATTAAAAAGCGGACCAGCACCGAATTCCCGGGCTTTATCGGTTATCTGTCTCAATGCAGCTTTCCTCATAGGCGGCGTGCCATTCTTGATTTTTAATAGCAACTTCATAATTTTCCTTTCTTTCTGTTCTTCCGGACTAAGTGACTCTTCATCCACGTCCACTAACAGTTTGTCAAAGTATTGGGCGTCTTCTGGCTTCATAAACGGCAAATTACCTTTCGGCTGATTATCCATCAACTTTGCATTCTTATCTTCTTGTTGAATGAAAAAGCCTTGTGGCGTGCCTGCCATTGGAGTCGGCGTTGCTGTTAACTTTCGTGCTGGTGTCCTAATTGGCACGTAACCTGTTAAGATTATTAGGAAAAATTAATTTTTTTCATCAAAAGTTTTATCGGACTTAAACTCACGGCAAAAAAGAACAAATATGAAGCGTAATCGTGATTTCTATTGTTTTCTTTCATCAAACTAAAAGATACGATTCCCATTTATTTTCCATAACATGTTTTTGAACACAAGATATTATTAATTCATATTCAGCAGCAGAAGTACGAAAATTTAAAAAATTTGAGTGTATATAAGAATTTAAGGATGAATTTCATTACCAGCAGGAGGTTGTAAGACTTTGTATCCTGGTGGGAACATCGCGTCTAGTTCATCGTCAGATAAGGGCCGATTTCTCTCGTCGATCTCTCTTTCCCACCGGTAGGCTTGTAGCTGTTCTGGCGTCATTGACATCAAGTGACCTGGCGTTGGAGTGGCCATACCCATAGCTTTTGAACCTATGGGCGTTGTTCCACTGGGAGTCAAAATTGTGGACTGATGTGGCGTAGTGAGCGGCGTCGCCGGAGTCTGCGGTGTCATCGCCCCGGGCGTCTGAGTAGATGGGGTTTCGTCCCATCTACTTCTTCGTTTGCTGGCCGATGGTGTCGGGGTTTCCTGGATTACTTCACCAGCAATCCGATCTGTCTTAGGAGTCTCAGCCCACCCACTACCGTGACCAGGAGTTTCTATTTTTAAATGTATAGAATTAGATGTTTAAAAAAAATCGATCGACAATGCACTCATTTTGTGATTATGAGTTGATCTATCTTACCTCTTTCTGTCTTGGGTGTTTCATCCCATCTGTTTCTGCGACTAGAAATGATCTTTTCAGCTGGCGTTTCTCGACCAGGGGTAGTTGCACCCGGAGTCGCATGTCCAGGAGTCGTTTCCCATATCCTGGTGCTAACGCCAGGTGTAGCTCCAGGAGTTTCTCCACCTTTGGCGTGAGCTGGTGTTTCATCCCATCGTATGGCAGCGGGAGTAGCCTAGACAGATTTTTAAAAAAACGTACGTCGAAGTCTTGTAATTATTATCAAGAGATAATTTTTAGTTCTTATTATGAATGTTTTACGTACATCTGCAGTGTCCCAAGAAGTTGGTGTGTTCGCTACCGCTGCAGTTAGAGTCATTTTTTTAGGTGTTGGTGTATCATCTGTTTGATCCCAGCGTCCTCGCTTTTTTGGGGCTACTTTGGCTTCTCCGTTTGTTTTTAAAGTTCCATCTTTCACTTTTTCAGCTATTTTTTTACGTAACTGCGAGAAGAAAAATTTATTCAATTAAATATTGGAATCAGGCAACATTACTTATTTTATATTTGAGCTTTAATCATATTTTATTTACCTCTGATTCTTCTCCTTTTAAAATTTGCTCTCTCATAATTTCTGTGTACGTTCTTGAACCGACATCGGGAGTTTTTCCACCTGAAATCAAGAAACAAAAGTCACGCAAAGCGCAACTGTTAGACAACCTTAAACGATAATAAGGTAAATTTTTCTTCAATGTGACCAACATCCGCCATCCATTTTGATGTGAAACTTATAGTATGCCCTTAGAATATGCGAGTACATTCCAAAAAGGAGCTACTGAATGAACTTTAGAATTTTACCCACTTTTATAATAAAATAAAATTCCAAATAAGATCCTAATTGATAATTTTTAAAGCAGGTAAAATAGTTGCATCAGTAGCGGGCATACAATATACGTACGTGGAGTATTGGGGCCATAGGGAGCACTGTCCTGCTCATGTCATCCAGATTGTAAAATACTTGACATCTAAAAATCAATTCTGATCTTGTTATTAATAATGTTTACACTCACACCATTCATACTTAATTGAGGGTCGGCTTTCTCAGCCATCTTGATATGACGAAATTTTTTGATGGATCTTAATATTTTGTATACATGTTTATGAAACGATCTTTAAAATAAACGCCTGCATCCATGTACATCTCTTTGTAAAACACACTATGATGATGTAATAATATATTTTTTATCACTTTGTAAGGCAGTAGATTGAGATTCAATTGACAAAGGGAAACAAACATTTGATATTTAGTTAGTATTTAATCAGCAAGAAATTTCATCATCATCAAGGTGAAATGGTTCATTAACAGGGCTTTTACAACTAACAGTTGTATAACCTTTGACTTAGCATCCAAGACAAGTTGATGATCCCATATGCCCAGGCCATCACTAAGATTGGAAAAAAATTCAGGAATTAGTATGTATTTGGAAAAAACCCATGCACACATTTCATTCAAAACACTATTCAATGACCACATGCATTCATACTTCTGACAACTATACAATCCAAATAATACTATGACTATCAAAGAACAGCAAAATAATGCCTTGCAACGTACTATATTGTCATATAAAAATCACTATAATTATATAATTATATTTAAAAATGTTATCGAGAATCATATAAGACTTAACGGACACATTACGTCATACTCGAGTTTTACTTACTACAATCAATATATGGAAGTAAATTTCGAAAAAAACGCTAAATCTTTTGCTTCAACTCGACTTAAATTCACAACTAAAGTAACGTTTGTATACTCAGATACTTAATATTAATGCTAATAAATTATAGAATTTTTGTTGTATGTTAACAAAAAAGTTGAATTTTCAATTATTAATACACAAGAAACTTTGAAAAATAAAAAAAATAGATATATTTACACAAATGATTGAACAATTCAACCAAGAATTGGTTTTCTTAACAATTGCAGTACTTTGATCGACTTTGCTTGTGCAAAAATTGTGAAAAACCAAATTTTTGGAAATTATGTTAAAACTGCAAAAAATTTCAATGTCAAGTATTCTCGAGTACACATGTAGTGCAGTGTATAACATCACCTGTGTATTTTTCGTATAATTAGTAACAATCAGTGAAACGTAACCAACCTTCTGCAAATGGATCAACACGCTCAGGAGATATCATCATAGGCCGTCTTTTCTGTCTGTACTCATCTTCTCTGTCAGCTTGGGTGGGTCGTCTTCTATCAGCAAAAGGATCATAATCCTTTTCACTCTGAAATGATAAACACGATTCACAAAAAGTGTAATCATTTACGACTCATTGAAACATCATTTTCTTAATAAATGTGTATATACCTGAGCAACATCGTTGAGTAAAGCAGCCGGAGCATTGTAGCCCCTCTTGTTGCTACTGAATGTAGTTGGTTCGTATTCTTCATCCTGCAACCAAACGAAAAAACACACGTTAAGTTATGAACTTGTGTCTTGGCATGTAAGTTATCACAATAAACTGTCCAAGAGATGCTTTCTACTGCTGGACTCACCTCTATCTCATCATTAGCAGCAATCGACGTGACATAACCATCAAATTTATTGTTTGTTCCATCATAAATCTCTTGATCGTAGAACCCTGTTTCACCAAGGGCCACCTGCTCGTCCACAGTGGCATTGTTTTGCACGACTTTCTTTTTCTCTTGAATTTCACGGATTTGCGCTTCGATATCTGAAACGCAGACAAAACAAAATCATAATAATTGACCATTTAAAGGCCGTCCATGGCACCTTCAAAACACACTCTATTGCAAGACAATAAACAGCGTTTTTGACTCTCAAGCGAGCAGATACGATAGAATTTACTGTTGCGAGCTAAGTAATTGTATTAAGTGGCTATAATCAAAAACATATATTATTATTACGTATTAAACTTACCTTCACGTGTCCGCGGAATCTGCGCCATGTTTGCACTTCAGGGAGTGCAAGAGGCTGTCGAGACGCTACTAATCCCTTGAAATTCGATTACCTACTGGCTCGCACCTCCTTCAGTATTGGTATTATTTTATTCGCTGTGTCTATTCGCACCAAATCCACGTAATTATACGTGGATATAAGGTTATGAATTTTAAAGAAAAACGCTACTTTTTCAAATGAAGTATGTCCACGTAAAGTGAAGTTCGCCGATTGCGTGCCTATAAGAGAACATGTGTGTGTATGAAAGCACAATTTTTATTTTTACTTTATGGGACGAGAGACGAGACGACTAGACGAGTGTTAGAGTACATGTGCGGTCACACACATATACACTTTGGCCTATTCGCGTATTCGTAATCGTAAATATATACTATCATATACATATATAAATATATACATATATATACGTATAAATGACAGTTAAGAAGTTACTCAACTAACGGTTATAGTAACCTGTTGTCAATACAGCAGAGTTCTTCACTTCTTGAACCAACTGTGTATCAGCGCCATCTAGCGTTTTGCAAACTATTTTCTAGGGGATCCGTCTCATATCTAGGTGTCAAAAACCGCATACGTGCTTCGATGAATGCTTAAGTTGATGAAAATAATATATGAAAATGTAACAAATATCTCCCGTGCATGCCGCATGCCTCGCTTTGGTTGTAATTTGTAATTTGTAATTATACCCACTAAACAATGTATAGGGGCTAGGTGCTCTACATTACTATTACAGTAATAGTAATACTTGATTCGCAACGCTATAGATGGCGTTGATAAACTAAACACGATAAAATGACAATGACAAATTTAATGATTAAATTAATCTATTTTAATTGAGATTTTTCGATTCTAACTTGATTTTGTTTATATGTAATACGCGTATAGAAAATTTTAATCTTTTCCTTACCAATGGTAAGTTACCATTAATCATGAAGCTCCGCATAAAATTGTTCAAGTTTTTGACAGCAAGTATAAGTATACCGACAGAAATTATATACATATACTGCATCGAGTCGCGCGTTGCTGATGTGCTGATTGCTGATGGCTTGACGTTGACGGGAGCGACCTGTAAAATTGAGACTCCGAAGTACGTATATATGTTAAATACTCAAAACACTGCAAGACAATGATTCTTCTCCACAAGCTAAACTTGAATAAGCCGATTGTTTTGTTATCCGAATTTTTGTGTAAGCTCTGTAAAAATTTCGTCAACTGATAGTCTTTTTATAACTGAGACAGCTGCTGCTGGGCAGGTCCTGCAGAAGAGTTTCGAAAATGATCGACTTCCAGTTCTGCATACCAGCAGCAGCTCTAGCTGTGGCCTTGTCAATTCCAGCTAGAAAATTTCATCGGTTTTCTACCTGAAACACCAACATCATCTCAAGTTGACTGGATTTGTCGAGAAGCTGCTTGTGCAGGCTAATCTACCTGCAAACAATGCTCATCGACTCCTCTTGTGAGTCGATCGAATCAAATAATCATGTAAGTCGATGTTGATTTGTAAACAGTGCGATAAACCAGGGAATGTATTTTTTTCACTAATTGTTTTGAATTATTTATGCTAATCGTAGGTTGTACATGATGATGAGAGTCAATTTTAAAACATTTGTTTTGATACTTGTCGTTGGAGTCCTCAGTTCTATATTCACATCATGGAACAACTGCAGTAGTTCATTCTTTCTTAGAAATTCAGATTGGAAATCGCAGTTTCAGCATAGTGTAAGCATCAACTTTTTTTCTTCTTGTTTTTTGTGCTTTGTCGCTATTTTTAATTCACCATTGAAAATTTTTCATTCTCAGGAACATTCTAACAATGAACTGAGTTACCAAGAAATTGACTGCTTAATCAATGGCCGAAAAATAATAAGCTGCCGAAAAGAGGGAGATGAAGTCTACATTCCATTTTCATTTATACACAATTATTTCGAGGTATGTGCGGTATTATTTGTTGGAGAGCAAAACATCTATCAGTCATTATGAGAAGTGTCTTAAATATTTCTCAATTTTTAGATTTATGGAAAGATAGTAAATAATGATGGACTCGAACGGTTTGACTGGTACCATAGTTATTCCAAAATCATCAACAGAAAGGTGAAATATGATTCTCGTGGAGTGTTTATGACTTTTGAAAATTACAATGTTGAAATCAGAGAAAGAGTGAAATGTATAAGTGGCGTGGATGGTGTGCCCATTTCAACGCAGTGGGAGAGCCAAGGGTACTATTACCCAACTCAGATAGCTCAATTTGGTTTGTCACATTACAGTAAAAATTTAACTGAACCAGAATCTGTGAAGAAAATCATCGAAGATGCCGACAAGGTGAGACAAGACTGGATTGTACCACAAGGTTCAGTGATGAGTCGAATTTATGATAAAAGAGTAAACAGCTATGTAATGAAGTATGCAACCCCAGAAACAACCTCTTCGGGAATTTCCATTAAACTCGATCACATTTTAAAACTAATGTTAAGGCTTGATCTCTGTATCAAAGATAATGGCAGCGTAACAGTAGAATTACAGATGAGAGAGAAAAAAGACATGTATTACCTGCACTACGTAACAAATAATATGTTAATATACACCTACAACAATCATATTTATCATGGGATAGGGCGAGCATTTAATCAATGGAAACATTTAACCAGAGACTTGATGATTGATTTACAAAAAGGTCTGAGCCTTATTGATAAAACAAAAAGAAAGTTATCAAGATCCAAGCTTAAAGTTGTTAGAATAATACTAAATGGATCAGGAATGATAGATAATATTACTTTGTCGATAAGTGAACACATGGAGCAATTTTATGACGCAGCTCGTTGGTTCGTTGCCAATCAGAACATAACTTCTGGTGGCTGGCCCAATCCTGTAAAAAGAAAAGTTGCCAATGGGATGGCTATTCTTGAACCTGGATGGTAAGATTTCATAACTCTTAAAAACAGAAATTTTATAAATATAAAAAGTACAATTGATTAAAGAGAGAAAAGTAAAATCACTTGCAAAAGTGTGGTTTAAAGATTTAAAAAAAAAAAAATGTATTACTGTGATACAATACGTAGTAAAGTGTAATTTACTGTGTTGAATTGCAGGTATTCAAGTATGGGTCAAGGACATGCGATTTCTTTACTATCGCGTGCTTATTACAATTCTGGGGACGAAAAGTACCTGCAGGCTGCCGTCAGAGGATTGCGGCCTTTTCGAGTGGCATCGAACAAAGGCGGCGTAGCAGCTTACTTTTTGGATAAATACGTTTGGTACGAGGAGTATCCCACGGTGCCTTCATCGTTCATACTCAATGGTTTTATATACTCCCTGATCGGCCTGTACGACTTGAAGAGCATTGCGTCGGGGGAGGACGCGGAGGAAGCTCAGAAGTTGTTCGACCAGGGTATGAATTCGTTAAAAAATATGCTTACTCTTTTTGACACGGGCTCTGGAACGACTTACGACCTCCGCCACTTCACGCTGAGAACGGCGCCCAACTTGGCCCGTTGGGATTACCATTCGACTCATGTCAATCAGCTGCTTTTGCTCAATACCATCGACAGTGATCTTATTTTTTCAACAACCGCTGAGCGCTGGATTGATTACATGAGCGGTAAAAAAGCATCGCACAATTAAACCTCTTGTGATTGACTAATACGCGCTGGCGTGTCAATATTATAACATAGGATTGTTACATTAAATTTAAATCAAGAAAAAGAAAAACAATATTGAGAAAAATTTTCATACTATTGAACCAAGTAAATTTTGCACAAGTAGGATAATGATCTAAACTTTTTCTTTTTAATTTTTAATTTATGCATTTCATTCGTCCATTAGGCTGTCTGTAACAGCACATCTAATACTTGACTGAGCGTATTAACAAAGAGTATAATAAAATTAACACTTTACCTTTGATGGAGACCACGACAATTAGGATAAAAGAACGTATTCCAACTTAATTTAGTATTCCGCGTGTAAATAGAATATTTTCGATTTATCTCCAAACTTGCGACATCTTTTACGCATACACATTGAAATAGGCCTCGTATGTGAATTTTGCAATCATTTACAAATTTCGCAGTAAAAACACTCTGCTACTCACACTCTGTCCAAATAGCGCCAAATTGGGATTTCTCGTTTTGGTACCAATAAAAGACATTTTGCAGATGTTTCCATAACGTCATCACCACTAAAAATTAGAAATAACAAACCGATAAAGTTAATGAGTAATGCCCCTCTTTAGTGTGGATAGGTAATGGTCATAGTAGCGCCCATAACTGACTTATTACCCAAAAATTTTCGCTTTAAAACTGATATCTACTTTTTAATTTAGTGCCGAGCAATAATTATATGTGGTACAACATTACCCCTTCGGGACTACCAATCATGATAGGTGAACGGAGTTGATGGGCACTGCTGTGCGAATAACTTGTAGCACGTACGTCACAATGCAGGGACACTTTTACGCTTTAATTTAGGCACGAGAGCGTCACCGTGCCAGATCTCTTGTTTCTTTGTTTCCCGCTTATAACACAAATACGTTTCACAAGAACTGAGAATTTTCTGTAATTTTCTATCCCTAGGGCAATGTCAATTGTCTAAGCGTACCGCGACGTAGTTTGTAGTACCAAGAGATAATATATTCTTTCGCATTGTAGGACCCTATAATATAAAAAAATACTGCGTAAGTTGTGATTTACACAGAATAATTATTAAATAATTCACAGACTGAGATGATTGGAAAACAAATTTTCATTTGTAATCATACATTTTTTTAGATAATATATTGTTTTAATTGGTTACCGTAAGTTTTGCTTTATATGGTTTGTACAGAAAATTTTTTCGAACAAAAAATGAATTTCTCCGGTGATTTTCAAAGATAGCACTTTTCATTTAGTTCCAAAGACGCGCAAGCAACTAATATTTAGATATTACTTGTTGACGCTAAGACTAAATATTATGAATAATACTTAAAAGTATTTATTTAATTTCGACACACTAATACAAAGTATTGGCAGTCAAATTGTTTAATAACTTACATGTACGCCTGTGTTTACACTGCTCCTTCCACTTTGAAAATAAACTTGAAGCACCTGATGTCTCGCCTGATGTTGATAAACTGTATACAATTGGAGAACCAAGAACGATAAAAATAAAATTGGTCATCACAATTAAATAAAAGTTAACGAGTCAATGTTTAGAAAATAAAACTGCGACAATATGAAAACATCCCACGTTTGAAAAAGCTTTTGTTTGTAATAATGAATAAGGATACTCTGTGCTATATTTTTTTCTTTCAATCTTTCAAAGATTATTTGCTATTATTGCCTTAAAAAATAACAAGGTAAATTTATCATGTGTGTAAAACATTTATTAATTAATCATAATAATACGCACAAACAGGTATAACTAAAACTATCTTTTCACGCATTAATTATCCATAATATGTGCAATACTCCTTATTTAATTAATAATATGCTCGTACGCACTTTATTAAATAAGAAAATTAAAAAATTCAACATACGAAAAACTCTCACATCGCGTAACAATTTAATGCTTCTTGACTATGATTCATCACATTTGGCAAACATTTTAAGAAATTATACAGATATCAATAAAAATTAAAAGCTTGCAGGAATCTAATCGAAACAAGATGGCATAATACTAAAAAATTAGATTCTCTGTTTTTTAGGTAGACAGCCCTACAATTAAATGGTAATTTTTTAAAAATTTAATTTTACATTTTGAGAAAGTATAGATTATTGAACGATATATACTATATTTTCGATTAATTTTTTTTTTATTCAAAAAATCAATTAAAAACTATTTCGTGGCTCTATTATCGAGGGTTTAAGACAATTTCCTGGAATTAAGTTCAATTTAATATCTATAAGTCATTATTTTATCTTCAAGTGAATGTCAAAAAGGCATCTATTAATTATCATAACGTAATAATTAAAGTAACTATTTTTTTTATACTATAATTATCAAGCCTGTGTTGTATCGAGGCTTACCTTCTTGATACGTTCATTAATAGAAAATAAATAGTATAATTATTTCTGTATTTATGGCTCAGACCCTCGATAAAAAATGGCTACTTACCCGTATGTTGTCTTATTTGTATTTGATTCGTGTGAGCTTATTCAATAATCTCAAATTAAGACATTGCCGGGGGAGGAATTTTGTCGGTGTATATTTAAATAAAATCATTGCAATATTCGTTATAGCAAATTAATTTTTTATAACTATTATTAAACATTCGTTTAATGCACTAGAAAAAAAAAACTTACATTCCATTATGTATTCAATGTAAAGAGATTTATTTATAAACTTGGATATAATTATACTTAAATATGAACAAGTGTTTGTAAATTTTGTTAATAGAACCATTATGTACGCGATGGGTATAGGATTGAGATCTTATTTTGTTATATAATTTTTGTTATGAGAACCACTGTATAAAATGTAAATTCTTGAGCTGTAAATAAGTAAACAATTAGATTTTACGAAAATATGTACATAGCATGGTAGTACTGTGTAGTCACAAAGTATGGCTATATATGCCTGAAATACGGAGTTTTGTAGCGCTGATATTGTATTAGAATTTTACGTGAGGGCGTAGCTAAGGTAAATTTGGTGAGTGGTTGATAAGTACCATTGGCACTATGTACAATTATACTGGCCCTGCTGAAAACGGTGGACACTTCAAGTATACCCTCTTAGTACCAGAGGAAGTTTGGTCAATATTTAATTCCAGTAAAAAAAAATTGTAATTTGACTAGGTAAATTTAATAAATAAAACCGAAATAAATTGAAAATTCCCTGATAATTGCTTGTATCTTGATTTATTTTACCTGAATTACAATATTTAAATAAATATTTCTCACTTTTTGGTATTAATATTATTCCATGTACATATAATACAAGATGCGATCAATAATACACTTTGTACCTCGTGTCGCAATGTCTACAGAGGCCAACGTAAAGGTATTTGTGATTACCCCGAGATGGACATGCGACACCAGATACTAAGTATATACTCGTTATTGTAAAGTTAAGTATGTTATCACTAAAATATTGTTACTTTTGATGATACCCCGTAAATTGATTCGAATCTTTTTTTGGAGTATTAGAATCGTAAGATAAATTTCCTGTACTACAAGGAATAGTAGGAATATTGGAGCCTTGAATGGAGAAACCATGATAATCATCTTGTAAAGAAGTGGTTGGTTTGAGCGGTGATGGCAAATCATCGCTGTTGCATTGCAAATCATCTAATAAACTAGTAGGTGTACTTTTTTCAGGTATTCGAAAATCATTGCTTGCGTTATCGCTGCAAGAGTCCGAACTAATTAGACTAGCATCGTCGCCTTGTCCTTGCGTGCCTCTTTTTCCCGGCTTAATACAGTAATTACTGCCAAACAGTTGAAAATCAAAGGTAGGTGATGGTGTTGAATAATCTTTTGCTTGGACTGTAGTTAAATGTTTGTAAGCTGAAGAGTTGTCAGTTGTTTTGTTATCTGGTGATTGCGTGACAATCTGTGAATTAATACAAGTACTTTTAATTTTTTTGATACCTCATACTAAGGCTGTGTAATAACATAGTTAACTAGAGTTTCACTAATTAAAACTTTGCATGCTTGGAGTAGTGCTGAATACGACTATGTCGGTTATATATTATGTAAAAAATTCTTTTTAGGATACGAATTTTTTTTTTTTTTTTTTTTTTGGGTGAAATAACTTATTATTTTGAGAGGGAGGTTGACTACGTATAATCATTTTAAATCGCACCTGTGGTATTAATGGAGATGGAAATTCAGAGCACTCGTCATTTAAACAGTTCACATTAGTAGTAACTATTTGATTTTTAGTAATAATCAGAGGTGATTTTTCAATTGCAGCTTTGACACTAAGTTCTACGTTTTTACGAAACTCTATCATATCTTGTTTCATCTCGTTAGCTTTTTGTAGTACACTTTCATTTTTAGTTTTGAGCTCTTGTAAAGTTGACAAACTTTCCGACACAAAATGTAAATTCTGAAAGTAAAATTAAAATAAATATCTAGCTATTAATTTATTTTTCGTCAAATTGTTAGTATAACTTACTTCGCAAATCATCAAAGCCGATTCCCAAGTATTGGCTGGTACTCTTTCTCCTGACATATAAGCATTAAAGTCATTTTTGGTCATGTTTAATGACTCTGCTGTTAAACTTTCAATAAACGAAACAGCACAACACTAAATTTGAAATCAAGACTATTAACCACGATTTCATTGTAATACGAGTAGGATAAATTGAAATTATATTCATAAGTCGTACCAAATTTGTAAAATAGTAGCCACCTTCTCCTGTCATGAGTCGACTTGCGTTACAAAACCTTGTGATAAAATTAATATTGCTCTTCAGTCTTGCAGGATTGGACTTAAGGACTATAAATATCAGAGCTGGTAAAAACTCATCCGCGGATGCAGGACCACCGACAGACTGCTGAAGCAACAAAAATATGTTACTGCAACAATGAACTATACAAGCAAGTTTTTCCTGTGGGGCTTTAGCAGCGTCCATATTTAACAGATCTAAAAAAAATAGAGTTCAAATTAAGTAGTGGTCTTTGCTGTCACGGAAAAAATGTTTCAACACTTTTCAATCAGAGATAAGTACCCATCATTGATGTATAAACGAGTTCTCTTACTTCTACGCTGGTTTCTTGTATTTTACACTCCAAATTTTTACCACTCACCCAATTCAACTGTCTTATCCGTTTTTGAATATCTAAATCTTTTTCTTCATCGTGGGTATATGGCGGACAAAATAAAATCCTGTACAGTAGAGTAATTGTATACCTTTCAACATAATCAAGCAGCCTGTCTTTGATTTCTGAGGATATATCTGAATTTAAAAAAAAACAATTATTTGTAGCTACTGTTAAATAATGTACAATGTATTATACTGAGGGCATCATGTTGTATTAAAATAAATTACAATAACCTTCATAGATGGAACTTTCATTCATTCTTTTGGAAAAGCTCTGATAAAAGTTTTGGGTGACATCAGCCAGTTTGTCAATTCTTTTGCTATCTTTGTACTCTAAAATCTCATTAACAAATTGATTGATTTTTTTAGATACATCTTTGGCAACAAGAGTCTTATGGAGCATAGTAATCAAATCTCGATTATCCTCCTCAATTTTCTGTAGATCAGATGCGTTACTGCTATACAACTCTTTTAGCAACTGCCTTGGATCTTGGCTTTTATTTGTTGGTAGTTTACGGAGTCTCGAGAAAGCAGTCAACTTGGATGATTTGTTCTTATCATGCTGCTGTCGATGTTGATTTTCTGTGTGAGTACTGACAGTTTCACTACAATAATTAACACAAAGAAAGAACATAATTATATAAACTGATGACGATACGACTTTTTTAGAAGATTTAAGTAGTGTAATAATAAACGATAGCTAAAATTGTTAAAATAGTCATAGTTATTGATGGCTTAGCAGTTGCTTTACAAGAAATACATGATACACGATGGGTACACGAGGGCTGTAAGTTTCAACAAGTGTATTATTGAGGTGGTGCACAGGTATGTTTGGATACACTTTGCAAGTAGTGCAAAAATACCTATTGCGTATTTTTTTGCCCTGCAGTTAGTCAGTGAGTATCAGTAGTGAAAAATGTAGGCAACCTTTCGCGAACTTGCAGAAGCACACGTTCTTTTTCTTCCTGGGTGGCTTGCTGTTGTAACCTATGGCAAACGCTGCAGTAGCCCTGCCAGGCCACGTTCCCATAATAATCACAGCCATTCTTGCACTTAAGGTCAGACTCGTCGATACGATACTTGGGAGTTTTGGTAGAGTACATCACTAGGAGTTCCTGGGACTTGGGTCAGCAGAGATTTGAGATTTTTTGGGTGCACGGGGTGCACCGCAAATTACGCGAAAGAACAAAACTTTGAGTTGTCAGTGACACTTGTCACTTGTCAAGTTCAAGTTGACTCAATTGTTGACAAAATTGACAAGCCCCAGAGAGAGCAATCAATGCATTCTCTTCTTCCGCACCGCAAATGGGAGGCGCTGGTGTCGTCACTTACCAGCCATTGAAAACAAAGAGCGCAATTTTAAAAGCAGTTCTGCATCTGTACCTCAAAAAATATGTATGTTGATCATTTCTCATTGTTTTTCTCATGACAAAATGTACACTTGAATTAGCTGAGTCAATTTTTTTTTTCATCAAATAATGGCACTTTTATACAATGCAAACAAATATTTTCAAAAATTCAGTTCATTGTGTGCACAGAGAATCTTGTTTTCTCTAAACTATTAGAAAAATATTAATAATTATTTACTTAAGTACCGAGTAAGTTATCAATGTTAATTAAATCCATTAAATTTTTAATATGTTTTGAAAATATATAAGATCTTGTACTAAAAATTTACACCTGGATAATTTTAGAAATTGCGGAAATAATTCATAGAAATAAAAATAAAAAAAATGTTTTTCGATCAACATTATTTTCTTCCACCTATAAAAGATCTAAATATTTTATCATGTAAATTCATCAAATTGAATTTTTTTTATTTTAATTGGCCGTATTAAAAATTAAATGGACTTTCGGTTAAAAATTCATTAATGATTTAATATACGTTATATGTAACGGTCACAAAATTAAGAGGCATTTAATATTTTAAGTTAAAATAAATAGAAATGACAATTCTATTGATACTTCATAGTATCACAGAATTTATATTTCTACACAGGATATCCAACAATGTTTAAACAATTATCTTGAACATTTTGTGCCATTTGTCTTAAAGATGCCGAAGTTTTAAATAATTTTTCGGTTTGTCGATTTATTACGTGATAATCTTTGAAAATCCACTTCAAAATTCCAAAGCACTGATTTCTCTTTTTTTTCCATCGGCCAATCACCATCGCTTTCAATAGGACCCACGAATTCCATGTAAATTTTCCGACTTTCATGTCGTTTAAAGGATAATAATTTGTTTAATTATCAGTATATCATAAAACTAGTAAGTAACGTGACTTTGATATCATTATAAAAAGTGTACAATTTAATTTTGTTTATTGAAATTCTCAGGAAAAAAATTAAAATACCATAGACGTTTGGATTCGAATGACACCTTATGAAAACGTGAAATTGTCGAAAAAGTTTAAAATGAAATAGGAACAATTACTTTCAGATGGCTCTGGCTGTGCAGTCAATTATCTATAAGTTTTTTTAAATCATCCGAACAGGATCCGATGAAGAATCAATCCCTTTGAGTAAAGTTTGACCGAAAACTGGTTTGCCCATGAAGTGTTTTCAATTTGAAAATTTCACATCTTGTGCTTTTTACCACTAATGCTTACAAAAATTGATGGTCATTTTCGAACTATTCGATTTTCAATTGGTGAGGTTTACCGTATCACTTGAAGCATGTATACCAGTAGAGAAGACTTAAATGAAGCGCTAGATAAAAAGTAATGATTATAAAATAATGTGATCGTTGCATTTATAACTAGTACTTAAAAAAGTAGACATTAACTTTCTATACAATTCTATAAATTTCAATTTTCCTTTTCGTGAATCGATGTGCTTGAAGATTCAGCGTAAGACGTAAAATTCCAAACCGAATGGTACACTTCAAAATTTTACCGGTTTTAAGCACTTTCTACGTAATGATTGGGATTAAAAGTATTTAGTTAAAAACTCAACAGTAGTCATATTTCGCTGAAATAAACTTTAAAAATCCTTTGTTTGCTTCTCTAAAAATTTTTTTTTTTTTTTTTTTTTTTCAGCACGGATGGTACAGCCAAAACAACCTTAACACACCATACCTATATCGCGTGTTGTACGACATGTTTACATAATACGTAATTTTGGTATTAGTTTTAGATTTTGTCACATTTGAAAATCTGATAAGCACGTCTCTCATATATTATAATTGTTCACAGTTTCATAATTGTAAATAATATTCATCAAGCATCTCACGGATTGTGCAACCCCCAAGTGAAGTAAATACCAACAGTGTGTGTCTGAAACGACATGAGAAAGAGTAATTTTGCCTATTAATTTCACACAATGAGACAACTGATTCCGCAACCTTACAATGACTACGTATGTATATTCAAGACTGATTCGCTCAATTAAAATGATATGTGTATATATAAATTTTTTTTTTTTATTTAAAAAAAAGTGTATTAACCATACAGAGATCAGTTAGTTGCAAAAAAAAATATGTGATCAAAAAATTAAAGTCAATCGTACCAGCGATCGACAACTAATATTTGGTTCGAGATGTACTGACATCGTCTGAAAATATTGTTTTTTGGTTTCTACCGCCAACATCTAAGGACGAGTTTTTTTTTTGTAATCGCGTCGCATAGCATACTTTATCCGTAAGGACTCAATACCCGTAAAAACTTTCTTCGAGCAAAGCATGGCACATAATCAATAGTTAATCAACATTTTTGGAAAATACCGAATCAACGCGCCTTTAATAAACCCCGTAGGGTCTTCGTATAGGTATTATTCTAATGAACGGCTCATCGTTTGGTAATGTAATCATCTCAATCTGCAGCATCGACATATTTATTTGTAAAAAAAAAAAAAAAATTACTTCCGTGCAAAGTCGCAATCACCTTAATTTACCCGGTTTCACCCCATATTCCATCGCGGCAGCTCTTCTTTGTCCCCAAAGTAGAGATTTCACAACGACCTTGAGCACCGTAAGCAATAATTTTGTTTTCCTCGTGTCCTCCCGAAAAAAAAAAAAAAAGCCGTAACGACGGAGAAATTTCATCCGCGTACCCTATATATATATTCGTTAGATTCGTATCTCTAGCGCAGCCCCCCCCCCGCTCACGAATGGTTAGGCGTATCACCGACACCTTATACACCCGAGGCAATAAAAACATCGGGAGAGTTGAGTGCGCGGCTCTCCCGGGCGCGTGTAGGTCCGGTTGGACATCGAGACTGGCGCCGGCACGGAGATTCACATAATAAGTCGGATCTGCCACGAAAAAAACAGTGTTTGGTATATATATATATATATATATATATATATCTCGCAACACTTCTTCTTCTTCTTCTTGCACACATTTATAAAAAACGTATGTCATCGTGCCTACGTACGCGTATACGTACATACCTATGGCCCCTTTCTTATTTGATAGAAAAGGTGTACTTAATACATGATCCCTCTCTCGTACGGCGATACTTTTACTTTTGTTATTGTATGGGGCAAAAAAGAGGTACGGGAACGCGACTTTACGAAAACGCGGTTGGTGACCAACGAACGGTGGCACATTAGAGAAATACGCGTTTTTAGCAGCTTTAGCGTTTGTTGTACAGCTACGTCCAAGTAATAAATGTCATATTTGGGCCTTTGACAGTAGATTCCATGGGTATAGCCTTCGATGATCGTGCATACCTACTTACTTCCAATGGCTTACTCTCATTATTTCTGTGTCTTAGTTGGTGTACTTTTACCATTTGGCGTTACCCGTTGTAAAGCCAATCGATTGTACAGCCCCGGAGTAAGTAAGTCATCAATCAAAAATAGATTAAACAACAAAGAGATCATTTTTGGCACTTGTGAAACTTGGTCGGTGCTAATGTCTCTGAGAGGGCAAGACCCGGTCGAATTGAAAGTGTTTTGGTACACGCGGTCTATATTTTAAAAGCGTATAATTGCACAGTTATGTCCGTGGCCGAGTGGAAGACTGTTAGATTCGTAACGAGCCGTATAATGTACTCGCGCGGTGGCTCGTCCGACTGGACTTTCTTGCGGCTCAAATTTATCGGTATCTGGAGGAGGTGGTGTTATGTATAGGAACTTATGGAGATTCGGTGTAAACGTGATTTCATAATCTCTTATTAGTAGGCAACCGCTGACGCTAGTCAATATAAATAATAGCTGTAAAACACCAATGTTATTTTTTTTATTTATTTTTTTTTCTTCTTCTAATGCTGAGACAAACGGAAATGAAAAGTAAAAGTCGGACGAGGAGGAATATCGCATTTTTGACAATGCTACGGGTGTTGTTTTACTCGCTCATTGTTTGATCTGTTTCTCGTTTTTTTTTTGCCATAGCGGGCATTTGAAAAAAAAAAAAAAAAAAAAATTTAATTGAGCTTAACGATACTTTGTCGAAAATTTGTATGCCGCAGACGACTGTTATTCGATTTTTTTTTTAATTAAACGTGCGCGAGATGAGACAATGCCTAAGAAAAAGTGCTTTTGGACGTCCTTTCTAAAAATACCCATCAAGGATGCAGAATTGGTTGGCCGGAGATGTGAGTCACGTCAAAAATGAAATCATCGATGGTTAAATGAAAAATGTTTTTGTCACAAATATCTCGATGAAAAGAATTTCTTTTATCAACACGCTGTACGCCTGTCCGAAACGCGTCAAGGATAATGACTGTGAGGTTATTTATAATTGATAATTGTTGATATATCACACGCATGGGAGAAGATGGGATTGTTTAAATTCAAACCAGTGCTAATTTGAGCGTTGAATCACGAGGCGAACACAAGAAATTTGAAAAACACGACATCGCAGACCTTTTTTCATTTGCAAACATATAGTATAGCAACCATAACTCAGATGTGTTGAAAACGTTTGTTCGTAAAAAAAAAAATTTTCTTGTCAATAAAGTATCTTACATTTCTTTGGCGTATAATATTTAATTTTCATGCTTGATCGGAAAGTATTAATTGATTAATTTATTTAATCAACTCATTTAGACGACAAATTTTGTGATTATTATGCTTAATGTAAAAAAGACGTACAATTTTAATTTATACATACAACTATATAAAACTAAATTTTTTGCTTAAAAGAATGAATAAAAAAAACCTCCTCTGCTAGATAAAAAAATTTGATTACTCATCCGACATACGATTAAAATAAGCGTTCAATTTTTCGGAACAGATGTATGAGCATGATGATCTTACAATTCAATTAATTATTCAAATATAAGTGAGCGCAGAAGTAGATGTAGAATGAGTTGGCTACTTAGGTTTTTCTTTCTTTTTATCG